TTATTGAGGTGCGTGAGTGCTTTATATATTTTGGATGTCAACCCTTTATCAGATCTGTCATTTATGAATATATTCTCCCATACTGTAGGATGCCTTTTTGTTTCATTGGTGGTGTCCTTTGCTGTACAGAAGCTTTTCAGCTTGATATAGTCTCACTTGTTCATTTTTACTTTTTTTTCCCTTGCCTGGGGAGATATGTTCATAAAGAAGTTGCTCATGTTTATGTCCAAGAGATTTTTGCCTATGTTTTTCTTTAAGTTTTATGGTTTCATGGCTTACATTCAGGTCTTTGATCCATTTCAAATTTACTTTTGTATATGGGGTTAGACAATGATCCAGTTTCATTCTCTTGCATTGGACTGTCCGGTTTGCCAACACCAGCTGTTGGAGAGGCTGTCATTTCCCCACTGTATGTCCATGGCTCTTTTATCGTATATTAATTAATTGACCACATATGTTTGGGTTAATATCTGAACTCTCTATTCTGTTCCACTGGTCTATGGGTCTGTTCTTGTGCCAATATCAAATTGTCTTGATTACTGTGGCTTTGTAGTAGAGCTTGAAGTTGGGAAATGAGATCTCCCCCATTTATTCTTCCTTCTCAGGATTGCTTTGGCTATTCAGAGGGTATAGACTTTTGATTGAAATGAATGGATATTTTGGAAACTACACTAATTTACAGCTAATCCCTATAAATTTGGTTTTTAATAAGCCTCTGATAATTTTAGAAGTTAGTGACTTCTCATCCATTCCCCCAACTATCCATGCATTCACTTAATAAGTCATTGAAATTATGGAGCTGGAAGAGAACTAGAAATAGTCTAGTCCATTTCCTCATCTTACTGATTGTGAAAACCAACAGGGAGAAAGGTGAAACTGTTGGTTCAACTGCACATCTGCTGGCAGAGCACTTCCTGTTTGGACCCGTCTTATGAGTACAGCCAACATTCACTGCACCTGTCCTTCCTGCACCCATCTTCTACCTACTGCAACAGGCTTCCCTGCCCACACACTCAGAAAATGCCCAGTCATAGGTCACCAGGGATCTCCCAGTTGCAAGGCCCAAAGGACCCATTCTAATTCTCTTATATTCCACCTTTGTACTGCATTTGACAAGCAAGATTGACATCTTCTGCTGAAAAATCTACTCTCCTTGGATTTTTTACCTTCATCTTCTAGTTCTAGTTAAGAAATGCTGGACTGTGCTGTGCCCACCAGTTTCTTCCATTCTCCTTAAATGTTGATGAGTCTGCAAAATTCTGCTGTTCACTGACTTTTCTTCTTATTCTACTTGGTAAACCTGGGTGATATATGATCTCCAGGCTCCAATCAGCATCTACATGGTGAGTACACATCGACATACCCTGTCTAAAATATGTTTTCTGAGACTTGTTAGCAGATACTCATTTTACAACTAGATATCTCTAGATTTTCAAACCTAAATATTCTCTTTATTCCAAAATTTGCTCTTCCTTCTATATTCCTAACCTTGAAAAATGGTGTGGGTCATCAATCTATCAACCAAGATAGAACTGGATTCTGTCATTCTCTCACTGAAAAACTGGAGGTTCTGTCTCCATAATATTCTTGCCTATCTTTTTCTTTATCCCTGTTGTGCTTTCTGTATTACTGCAACAGCATCCTTATTATTTTGTCTCAGTCCATTCCCTTTGCCAATCAGGCCTACGTATTACTACCAGAGTTTAATCTTTAGAAGCATAAGGTCAAGCATGTTAACTGCACTGCCTGCAGGGAAGTTCCATATTCCTGAGCCTGGCATATAAGGCCGTCTGTGTTCCAGGACCTGTTTACCTTAACTCTTGCTATGATTTCCTTGAACCTCAAATTCCAGCATCCTGAATGCACATACCCAATATATGTAAGTGCTTTTCTGTCTGAGCTGTTGTGAAATCTTCTCTCCTGACCATCAATGACCTTCTCCCACATGCTT